GAGACTGTACTTTATCACGGGTGGGTTAACCCAAGCCTGAAGTAGAAGAGCATCACAGATGCAAAGCGCATCGGACATGAAGCACATGCTTGCATTTAAATCACGTATATCTTACTTTTTTACTGATGTAATTGTGAAATATGTTCTTTTTGCATTCATAATTAGGGGGTGGAACAGATGGTGAAGGCTCAGTTTAAAATAATCTGTCATTAAAATAACCTAGCCTACTGGTAATTCTTCACTCTAACTGGAGATAGGTCATAGGGAAAGAGTTCGGGGTGATTTTTTTTTCCCCTTCTACGCTGGAATGTTGTAGAAAGAACCACTCATTTCAGAGTAGTCTTGTACGTGAGAATTGCCTCTGTAAGGGCACTGTAGTAAGATTTCACTCTGAAATTTGGTTGCAGGGAAATATGCAGGGGATAAAAAAAAGAAAGCAGACACAAAACAACTTTGACAAATATAAATCCATTTAGCACAATGCATTAAACATTAGTATACCTTCAATCATGAAGCTATAGTTAGTTTTATACCCTGCAAAGAAATAGCCTCATCATTTGACAAATACTGTTAGAGGCACTCGGCTTTTGGGGTTAAGAAACTGCGCCTTACACTTTATATGTTACTCTGATGTCAGGGGATATAAATTATAATTACAGGCATTATTATTCAGAGACGCTGTGGCTCCTGACTTGTGTATCCAAGCCTCGCTGCAGCATGCGTACCTCATAGACTTACTGGGATGTGACAAAGGAAATCTCTCATCAGCCCTGTCGAGATGGCTAAGAACTGGTTTTAGTAGTAAGAAAACTGTCTTGATGAATCAGATACTTGCATGCCTTGAAAACGTCTGTTTTACTGTTTCTTCTAAGATTTTGTTCTCCTTCTGCTTTGAGGAAAGCAGATAGATTTCAGCGTGGCTTTGTAATAAATCTTCTCAAGGAGGAACTAGCATTAACATTTGTGTTGGTTCTTTTTCATCTTAATCCAACCTAAGTTAATAATCAGAAAATTCTACATACTGAGTAAGAAGATGTAATTAACCCTTTGACCCCAGAATCTTAATTGGCGCCTGTTGAAAACAGTGGGCAGTTAAAAAAAAAAAAAAATTAAAAGGTAGCCTGCAGTGATTGAAACAGCTCTATATAGTAGCTTTCTTGATTCAAAATTTTGGAAATTTCCACTGAACTTTCAGATTAATCATATCTGGTTCCCAAGACTAATTGAATGTTTCCTCCTTCCTCCCACCCTTTAAAATTAAGACATCCACATTAAACCCTATTGATGCTACTCTTAAAACTTTTCTAAGCAGCAAAATACAGCTAACTATAGACAGGGATGACCCTGAAGCAGAAGGTAATGGCCATGTGAAGAGGGACCTTGCCAACCTGCTGGACACCGGGTTTCATATCCCATTCTTTATTTAAAATATAATTATACCTGAATTATTGATTTTATCTCATATTATAGATACAATTGACTCAGATGATAGGCATGAAAGTGAAAAATATGGTTAACTAACCTGTTTTGTTTACCTCTGTAATGGCAAACAACTAATCTGACTAGTTGTCCCCCCCCCCCCGCCCCCCGCCGCCCACCAAATTGGCTGTTATTTTTAATTGAATTGACTGGATGCTTTGTGTCATGTAGACATAGCCTCATTTTAATCTCACCAGGAAATTGGAACATGTGTCGAAGCCTCTGTTTTTGCCAAACGAAACTGGCCACTTCTTAGATCGTCGCTGCTTAATAGCATCAGATGTTTAGCCTCCAGATATTCCTTTTCCCTGCCATAGTGCCGAAACCACCTTTAGTATTTTAGCAAGTATATTGAGATAGGAACCTACTTTAAAAAACATAATCCCTTTCAGTGAGAACGCAAAGGATGTGTGTCAGTGACAAATGAATAGCACTGAGTATTTTGGAAGACTATGAAAGGATCCAGTCTAACTCAGATCTTCCGAATGTCAGGAGATATCCCAGACTACGTGAGACATCTGTGGCATCAGAATTCTGCAAGTAATCTAACAGTTCCATAAACAGAACTCTTGGGGGAAAGAACTGCCCTTCCTCTTAGTCATTCTAATGTGTGTGATGTGAGGGAAAGAGCTTTGGGCTCGGAGGTAGAACTGGATTTCCTAAGTCTTATTTGAGCAGTTGTTAGATGCTGGCTAAAGATAAATAAGACGTCGCCCTGCTCTTGAGAAATTCATCTCTTTGGGAGTTGAATAATTCTGCTAGGGTGATGGGGCTTCCCAGATGGTGCTAGTGAGTAAAGAATCCACCTGATAATGCAGGAGACACAGGTTTGATCCCTGGGTCAGAAAGATCCCCTGGAGAAGGAAATGGCAACCCACTCCAATATTCTTGCCTGGAGAATCCCATGGGCAGAGGAGCTTAGCAAAATACAATGCAGAGGGTGCAGAGTTGGACACAACTCAGCACGCATGTACACACACACAGACACACACACCAGGATGATACAATGTCATCCATGCTTTATTAATACTGTGGGAAGTAGTGTATTTAATCCCGGCTCTACCACTAGCTGGCTATGGTCTTACCCAGCCACTTAACCTCTCTGTGCCACGTTTTCCTCACCTGAAAAGAGAGTTTAGACTACAGGGGGTCATCTCTGGGCCACCTCCATTAATCCTTTCTTCTGGGCTCAGTCTTTTGATTGTCACTGGTTCCCATAGAAGGTATCATCTATCTCTCTCTGTGTCCCACTGATCTGACAGTGGCATTTTAGGGTTTGTGAAGATGGCTTACACAACTCCCTGTGATTATATTCTGGACCATGGATCTTAGGTTGAATAGAAAAAACCTAATTAGGCCTTTCTCTCCCTGGAGAAGGTCAAAAGAGGCAGTCCTAATCCTCATGAATCATCCTTAGGAGACACCTTGCTTGAGGTGAAGACATATTGAAGTGAGATGCTCCCCAAACTTCTACAAAGGAAACCTCCATTTTTGCACTTTTGGTTCAAAGTAAGCTTCCACTGTACCACACTGGAAGCTTGAAAGTTTGGCTCTCACAAGGCTCAAGAAGGCTTGGCAATTTTGTCAAAGATCAGGAGTCCAGTTCTCTTAGATGGTGTTTTGTTTTCTGTCCCCTAGATGCTTCCAGGGAGCTATTACAGAGCAAACGTGACCTCTTGGGGAAGTGACTTATGAATTCTTTTTGTCATTCCACTCCCCATTCATCTCCTCCAAATGGTAGGATTCCATCATTGGAAAAAATCATTCAAAAACAAAGAATGATTTTTAAGAAGTTATAGGCTGCCTCAGTACAAATATGTTAATTTCAGAAATGCTGTCCAATTTATCTTTTCATTAATGTCCTTGTATCAAGTAGAAAATCTTTATTTTTAGTGGAAGGCAAGGCAGTGTAGTGATTGAATCCGACAATCTGAGTTTGAATCCTAACTTCATCACTTACTAAGGTCAGGCACGTTGGCTAACTTCACTAAACCTCAATTTCCTTGTATGTAAAATGTGGATAATAACATAATTACTTCAAATTCTACTTGTAAAAATTAAAAGAGACAATGCAACCTACTTAGTATATAATAAATATGAGCTATTATTATTGTACTATCTTGACCAGAATCTTGTCTATTATGTAATTTGCTTTTATGTGGTGCAGTACAATGTGACTTTTGAATCGTATTTTTGAATTGTTTTCAGAACCCACTTGTTTTCACCCAGTTGTTTTCAGAGGAGGAGGTTGGGTACTTCTAGTTTCTGATCAATGGGGCTGTGAAAAGGAATCAGGAAGCATGGAATCAAATTTCATACACACACACATATTCCCATAATGATACATACACATATTTATATAAATATATTCAATATATACATATAAAATTCCAAAAAAGTTCAGTATTTTAAGAGACTGAAATTATCACTGAGATTTAAGGCCGTGTATTTTTCTACCTGAATTTTACATGCTTCTTCCACCATTTTGTATTTAAAAATTATGTCATTAGTTTAATGTTGCCACATACCTTGTTCCCAGTGAGGATTCCCTGTATTTCCAAACTCACAGCCTTTGTAAATATCACTAATCTTTAAAACTTCTTTTCCTAGGCAAGCAGTACTTGTGCAACCCACTTGATTAAAAATAAATAAAACAAAACACAAGATGTTAGGATGATGGAACATATAAAATGCACCTGGATTGCAAGAATTTGAAACAAATTTATTCTCAATTTGAGTGATATCTTTCAGTTGGGAGTCCATGATGATTTACACCATTCATCAAACTGAAAATGCAGCCCTCTATTTGAAAAGTAGACTAACATTTCAGGAGCTGCATATAATATGCAGTATTTTTCTTTTCTCCCCCCTTTCTTCTTTTCTTTCCATTTCAGGAGCTGTAATAGAAACAAGATCAATCACAATAAAGCTTTAATATAGAGTTTTGCAAAAAAACGTTTACAATTTATGAAGCTTCAGCCTGTAAACATTTATCCATAATATATTGACTTTTCCTATTTGTTCTAATACAATAGGCACTGGGATTGAGGCGAGAATAATCCTTTATTAATTATCAAATTATTGACGTCCATAGGAGCATAAGTGATGATTTTACTTGTTCTTTATATAGGAACTCTTTTTTTCTCTTGTTCCATTACAGTTTTCATTCCTGTTCAGCTATTTAATAACTGTGCTGATTTAATCTCGGTAACTACTGAATCCAAAAACATAAAGGCAACATCTCAGAAAGTCAGCATGGCCTGGTTTTCTACATAAATGCAATGCATCTTGATTAAATGACAGAGACATAAGGAAGTACCTGAAATAAGGGAAAGTTAGCTTGTGGTCTTAATTCAAACATTTTGTTTGTTCATGTCTAATGTGGTAGTTAAAGATCTTAGATTTCTGTTAAACATGAAGGAAAAGTGATCTTAAAATTGGTATGTGTTGCTTTGTATTAGATGCCTTATTAACGAAATCTCCATCACATATACTTACTAACCTATTTTTTTTTTCTGCAGTCCCTGGATGGCTTTGTATTTGCACTAAATCAAGAAGGAAAATTTTTGTACATTTCTGAAACAGTCTCCATCTACCTAGGCCTCTCACAAGTAAGTAAAACCATTTTAGATTCTTGACAGCAATTGTGAAGGCTGCTTCAGCCTTGTGCCTGTCCTTCTTCTTCAGCAAACATTCTGTTTGGAGTGAATTATCCAGTTTATTTTTTAATGGCTCTCCCTGACTCTGCTCACAGTCATTGAGAAAGCTGTATGTCAGTTCAGAATGCTAGGCATCAACTTATGCTCAAAACTTGAGTCCACCGTCCCTACCCCCTAAGGATCATTATTAATTTATTGAGAACAAATGAAGTTTCTTCCCTTGGTTGTTTTGAACTTTGAAACCTCTGTGCTCGGTAGGAGAGGGACACACTAATAGTGCTTCCCTTGTGTCCTATTACTGGATGTTTATGGAGGACCCTGCGCTGTCCTGGGAGCTGACACAATGACAGGGAGCCATTTGGAGTCAAGAAATGCTGAAAGAGACCATTAAAATATGTTGTGGGAGGAACGGTTCCTGCAAGTATATATTTTGCTGCCTTTGCAAATGCTTCCTAATGCAGAAAGACAATTTCATAAAATAAGATAATCTTTTGTTATTTGCCATTTAATTACCCACACATGTCTGTCAGAGGTGGAAAGGGAAAAAAAAAAAAAAAGATAGAGGCACATGGGGGCAGGGGACGAAAGCCCTAGACATTCTTCCTGATAGTCCCTCCGAACACAAAAATTTGACTTTTGTTCAATTCCCAGACACAGGCTGCCACTACAGAATGCCAAAATACCCTGAAGAAAAGTTTGCAGTTCCACTAATTATCCAGATGTTTTCTCCATTAAAATGCTGAACATCTGGGTATCCGTGCCCATACAGGTGATTGGCTGAGCCTGACCCTTTTCATCTGGTGGTTTGGCACGAGTAAAACGCAGTTCCGTGGGAGGGATTTTGTATGTATGTGATGATCTGCCAAGTTGGATAATCTACTTCTCATTCAGTTGCTCCTCTGAGCTAAAGATGGAGATGAGATCTGCCTCTCTCCTCTTAGGCAGGACTCACCCCAGACTCATTGCTTCTGAAAGTTGGCACTGCTGTAAGGAGGCAGCATGGCTGGACCATTTTGGCTGTTAGTGGGCTTGCCGGGTAATAGCTAAATCAAGAAAGACATCGGGAAATAATAAAGAGAGATAGTTGGCATTTGAGGAGGGTTTGTGGGAGGAGGAGAAACACTGCCAAATTTAATTATTTACTTTTGAGAATCCAAGCCCGGGGTGGGGCGGTGGGCATTAACTCTTGCTTGAAGGATGTGCAAGCTATTGGCTGTAGTATATCTAGCAATTCTGTTTTATGTGGACTTGAGCAAACCAAATGATAGAAACTGGGCTATTGTCAACTCAATATTAGTATTCTTGTGTCTCATGGAAATCTCTGGTTTTCTAATGGCTGTTAATAGACTTGAAGCCTTGTCTTCATCTGTTTGAGACCTCGTATTGGGAATCACCAGTGTTGGAATTGGTGTACCCCCACGTTAGCACTGGATAGACCTGGGAAAGCCTCTGGTTGTTGTTCTGCAGTGCCCGTATTCATATATTTTGTGCAGGCTATCCAACAAAGTTTAATAAGCCAGTGAAGAAGAAGGATGAATAATTAGTTTAAGCAGGTAAATGCTAATTAGGGAACTCCTGAAAAGCATCCATTATATACTAGCTCAGAACACGTTTTACAGCCCTGGTTAGTGGTGTAATCCAAATTCTGTCAAGGCAACTGCATTTTCTGTAATTGAGATGTGTATGTTTGCTTTGCATAACAGATGGCTCTGTATGCTTAGACTGATAGCTAGGAAAATAATAATTGCATTATTCTGGCCAAAAGAATATTAGCTCTTGGGTTTTGGCCATTTCAGTCAGTCCTCCTGCCAGCACAGCATATGCACATATATGGATTGGATTTTCAAGGAAATTGATGCATCTGGAATAGTGTGGCCATCTGAAATATCATCTGTTCAAGAAAAATTTGGCTTTAACTCTGTGCTGGTTTCTCCTTAAAAGCAAGAGATTCCACTGCTTCTCTACAATCACATTTAGTCAATCTTTTCCTATAATCTGAGGCAAATCATTGAGATTTCCATAGGAATAAATCAGCTATGCAGGCATGGTATGGTAGCTGGCAACTTCTGTACAGTTCTTCCCCGCCTCTGTGTGAGATGGGTTATAAAGTAAGTATGCATCAATAGTTGGTGTCTCGGCTCACCCAGGGGCAGATGCTGGCCACCGTGGGCTGTGGCCCTGTGTGGAGGTTGTGGTTTGTGTCCCCACAAAGAGTCCAGTGTGCAGCTCGACAAACGTGGTGTGGGCAGAAGTCTTCATTTGAGGGCGTTATGCAACTGAAATGATGAAGGGTAGATCACTTCTAAGTGATTTTTGCTTATACCAATGTACATATTTGGAGTTCAAAACAAATTTAGAACTCCAGAAGTTAGTTCTGGGTTAACATGGAAATAATCTGATAAGAGCGTAGTGTGTGTTTTCAATGCCCAAAGAATAAGGGGGAAACTCTATGCTAAAACTTTGGGAAAGGTTTTCCAATCCAATTAATGTTCTCAGCCCTAAAAGAGTAATTGGGTTTCCTGAGACATAACCCTTCCCAAGCTTCTTCAGTTGTGAAGTACGGAGTGCTCACTGGTGACATCCAATGTAAAGTGTATTAAAAGTTATTCAATTAAGTACATCCTTAATCTTTTAAACACTCACACACCCTTAATTAAATGCAAACCACTCTGTTCGTATCCTACAACTTTGACTCAGTGATTTTTCCATCAAATTTTTGACAGTGATAAGGAATCTATATAGTTATGTTCCCTCCTTTCCTTTTTAAGCAGTGTTATTAAATCAAGACAGTGTGTATCATCAGATATGTATCCAGTGAAACTGCTGAGGAATATTGTGAACATGTCAGTTTGTTAGAGCATAGCTGTGTCTGCATTTATAACTCTCAAGATGTATCTTCCTCAGTTTTATTTTCTTTGAACATGTAAATAAATATGGTGGCTTTAAAATGGCTTATGTTCTCAAGAAAGAATTAGGATTCTTTTTTGGCTCATGAGAGAACTAAGTAGAGAAACTTCTAGCAAGCTCAGTTGTGTAGCATGAATATAGAGAGAGCCAGAGCAGGTTTCTCTCCTGGGCTCCATTGAGGGTAACTCCAGATGTTCAGGATGCGTGCTTGCCACTTATTGCCTTTAGGGTGTTTTCATACCATCTTGATGATGGGAATGAAGTGATCTATGCTATGATGGTGTCCAAACATCTTCAGCAGACCTTTGACTTTGCCAGAGATAATAATTTAATTTAACCAAGATATGGTTTTAGGTTGTAGAAAATGCATTGTTGACTTGCATCCCTAGATGTAAAGATTCCCAGGTACTCACTACACAGCCTTACCTTAAAGGAAGATGCCCAGATATCGTTGCTGAGTTCGGCTTGCATGGAGATTAAGTGACTTCTGCCTGATGATGGTGTCTGGAGCTGCTAAATACAATTCTGCTCCTTACGTAAAATGGAATAGGCAAAAGTGAAAGCAAAGAAAGAAAGCAGAGTCATTTCCCTAATACTGAAAATGCAGCAATGATGGGTAGCCAGCTTTTATGGAACCTTTTCCAACATGTAAGGGGCTTAATCACCAAAGAATCCAAAAGAGACTTTATATGATAAAAGCATTTCTACTTCAATATAGGAGTGGAAATTAAAGTTTATAGAAATATTTATTTGTTGATTTAAACCCTCTTCTTTCCAAAAAAGAAATAGCTTACATAAACATATAGAATAAAAAGTAATGGCAAAATAGAACTAGGGTCTAGGGAAAAGAAAGATAAACATAAGTAATCTGTTACTGCATAGTAATAGAAGCGAATAAAGGTTTATAAGAAGGGATATAAATGATCTGATAAAGTATCAGATTTACCTGTGAGCTTCCTGGCAACCAAAGCAAGAAGGAAAATATAGCCAATTATAGCCAACAATCAAAAATAAGAAAGTATTACTTCTTAAGGAAAAGAAAGATTTTGGTGACTGAAATATTAAACCTCAAATACAATTTCTGTGGGAGCTAATACGTGGATTATGACATATCAGTTTGCTTCCACTGGCATCCACATTAAGAACAAGGTTATAATGACCCATAAAACTAAAGGGAGCACACATATTACAAATCACATAAGGAAGCAGAAGATACTGCTCCCCTCAGATCATTTTGAGAATGATGTTCTGACATCTAGTACTTACAATGGCATTGACTAGCTTGATGTTTTATGTGCTTTTAAACCAGCTTTTCTTAATCCATATTCAAATACTGCATTTTCTTTTAAATGCTGATGAGAAAGTCAAAATTTTATTTGCCAGAGGCAGAGGACTTGGGTCTCAGTTAACCAGAGGATAAAAGTGGACCCTTCTGAAAACATTTTATCTTGAAAATGGGTTAAAAGATGATGATTCTGATGTACCTCTGCCAGAAAAATGTTTTCAAGTTAACAGAATTCTATTTAAAGCATAATGGGCCCTAGAGCAGATGGGAAATTAACAGATTTTTCCACTGTGATATCATAAGGAAATATACTATAGCCAGCTAAGCCCTCTCTTAAAATATACTCTTATTACCTGCCCATGGCCTCCAGTGCTCAGCTTGCAGATGAGTCATTTTCTTTCTTCTTACCACATTCCCATCCTGGCAGAAGATACTCCCATGCCATTGCAAGCCAGCTAGAAGGAAGCTGCAAACAAAGTTATGCATTGGCTTGGTTCAAGGCAGCTTGCTGAAAGAGGTAGGGTGGCTGCAGCTATAAGAGCTAATGGAGGTGAAAGTAAAAAGATATAGATGGTCATTTAAAATTTTGTCTTTTTTGTTAAGCCGTGCAGCTATATTTACCATAAATTCCTTTCCCCTTCCTGTTGTTCATCTCCATATTTTAGGTTTCTCTGCATTTGTTATATAGAATGGCAAATAAAATTACAGCTCTAGCACACAAGTACAAGGTCAAATAAATGACAGAGCTCAGTCTATTTGT